CTGTGGTGGTCGACACTGATCTGCCCAGCGCTGAGCTTCTCGAGCTAACTCCTCAACCCATCGCTAGTAAGCAAGACAAGTTTGTAAATGTAAACCTTATTTAACAGTGTATCTTACTTTTATATGTATAAATGTTTTCTAGATTAAATGCACTAAAGAAATACAGAGAAAATGACACTTTAGGCAGATTAAAACCTTTCCTTTTTTATGTATCTTCTTAACAGTCTAAACGGCGGACGCATTGCCTTAAGGCAATCTCTAGCGATGAACTTATAGGGTGATGCAGACAAATCAAGCGGTTAGTGCGGAGCAAGGACAAAACTATATTATTTTTATAATATTCATGCAGTCAAATTCTTCGATATAAAACTTTCTACTTGAAGAGGTTATGTTATCATCGTACCAGTTTAAGCATGTTTCCAGCAGCCGGGAAGCCCCGCATCCCACCAATAGCCGCCATATTTCTGCGACTGTTGAGCCGGTCTAATAATCTCGCCTTCTCCTTTATACTAAGCTTGGCTTCCACATACCCCACGCACTTAGGACTCGGACCTTCCTATATAGTTCAGGATAAGAATATTACTTTTTAACGACGCAAAAACTGAATGAAATTATAATATGGCATGTTTTCTTACAACAGATTACGCAGCAGGATCAAATAAAGAGTGACATTTTTTTTTATGAATTCATTCCTCAAGTTGGCAAGGAGGCAATTTTAACACATTTTTCAACAAAGCTGGTTTAAGGAAATTTTATGACTGTTGCAAGATTGAATTTTGGGAATACCAACAAAATTGGTAGAAGCTAAAAAAATATGTAAATATCGCACTTTGCAGTTACTTCATAATCATCATGCGGGACAAAAAGTGTGGTGATGTATTTTCTCCTGAGTAATAAGTGAAAATTGCCTAAGCGCATGTCTATTACTTACAGGATACTGGCAGAAAGTATGTGCATTCGTGTTTCCACACATTCTGGCGCCGCAGTAGTTGACGGAGCTGGCGGCAGCGAGTGCGAGTACACCGGACAACACGACCACAACGCCGAGCATTTTATCACGATTAACAATTAATTTTACACATTTTACTCAAAACACTTTGTGTTATTGTGTCGTCTGTCAATTTTGACAAGACACTGTTTTAATTCCTTGTGCATAGAGACAGAAGAATTTAAAAGAAATATCAATGAAGGTCGAATTTCCAATTCATAGATTTTTGCGTTTCGCTTAGCGGATACTGCGGGATGCACAGAACAGAAAAGTTAAGTATTTAGTATTTTGTATTCCGTGGCTGTGGGATGTGCCACGAGTTTAATTTCACATATTCATACCATGACATTCTAATGCTAGACTATGGGCCTTTCAGTCGGGGCTGCAGGGTAAACGCAATGAGGCACCACGACCTCGGCCCAGATTAGGAGAAGGAACGGGGGGTTTTTAGTCAGTAAGAGTCTGACACTCTCTCTCGCCTTACCCTGGCCGGGAGAAGTCATTGGATGATTTTCCCCTGTCAAAAAGCAAGAAGACTATGGCCTTTTTTACAATACATTTACCATAATCTCCTCGTCTAGCAGGCGCAGGCTAAATTGCAGTTCAAAGGACCAAGTTCATCAGAGAGCTCTGTTGCGCCCACGGTTGCGCCCATTCTCTGTCAAATATGTGGTCTTCAGTTTACTCCTACAATACTTGCAGGAAGAGAAGTAGTGGGGACAGTTATGCTCGACCTACTCCGACATGCCATTTTTTTATTAATATTGCAGCTAACTAGCAGGCGACCTTATGGTAAGCAAACGGCGCCGACCATGGCCATTTGGCAAACCTAAGGAGTTACAAGTGCGGCCCGCAATCCCACCCAATTGGAAATAAGTGGTTGAATTTAGGGATTGACGTGGGATGGAGGGAGGGAACGAAACACAGTAGTTATTTTACGCCGGTTTTCTGTAAGGCCGTGTATCAGTCCAAACCAACCCGTTTGTGCCGAAGCGTGGCTCTCCCACAAATTAACCATGCGGTGATATCCAATACTTTCTTCTAATTCTTTGTTAATTTGAAAACGTCTCTTAAAAAACATGTGATTATGAGAATTTCGCAATAACAGTAAACTTACACAGGGGAAAGAATAACTACCTAATTCCTTTGGCTATCCATGACAGATAAGTGTATAAGTGTCTGTCAATGCTTTGGAATAGAATAGAATAGAAATCATTTGATGATTTACCACTCACAAAATAACCCATATAAAAACTACCAAGTGTATTGTCTGCTGATAAGTAGTATTTGAGGTAGCCGTGGAGGTAGCATTTATTATTATTCTCGTAATCATTTAACGATGGACGTTCAATAGGATAAGTAAAACGAACCCGGCAACAAAAGGTATAAAAAACTTTATTTATAAGAAAAACTAAAAAATAAAACTGTATATCAAAAAAGTATACCTAAAAATAAAGCTATAAACACAAAGCTATAACAATCACAAAAGACGATGTGACACAACTGGCTGTATTAGAGTATGTATTCAGAAATTTCTCTAAGTACCCTGATCCCTCGGCGTCGTTCGGATAATTATCTTCATCGAATGGTTTCTTGTCTCTTTTAGATCTTCTCGATCGATGTAAGTGGTGTAGAACCTAGTGCAAAAGTTAGTCTAGTCAAAAATAGGTTTAATTTCTACTAATATTACCAGTATCCAAAAACGAAAAAACACAATTTATTTAAAAAAAAAAATGATGGTTTGTAATCAAATATTTAACACATTTTTATAGAGAGACCTTAGCAATTTTCTTTTTCATTCTCTATATTTCTTAGGTTTTCAGATTTTGGTGATGAGAAGTGCTAAAAATCGAGTTCAGTGGCGTGCAAGGGTCAGTGGGTCGTCTTAGGGGCGGAGTTGTTGTCAATCATTCTCAAATCAATCATCAATCAGGCTTTATTTATTTATTTATTTAATATCTTTATGCAAAAAACAAATGTACAAAGGTGGGCTTAATGCCATGGGCATCCTCTGACAGCCAAACCTTTGGATGATGCAGAGATAAATATAAAGGTGCACAAAACAAGACGTTATAAATACATATTATATACTGTAAATATACATACATATACTTATATATATATATATACATACTATATATTATATATACAGCAATAATATAATTACATATACTACTTAAAATTATCATTCTCAAATCAATCATCAATCAGGCTTTAAATGCCTACTGGTTAGCAAAGGTATCTTCTAACATGGAAAATCTATAAACATTAATTATAGTAAACTCACCTAATTGTGTGACTCACTTAATTCGGAGATTCCACGTTTGGACTCTTTCACAGCGTTATAGGAGTAAAATCCAATACATTAAAATTAACCCTATGGTATGGTAATAAATGTTCTTTTCGTGTACAAATTTTTGTTAAGATCGTGCGAGTGATATAGTAACAATCACGGAATTTGTCATTCCGCCCGCCATGTTTGACGTTTCACGGTAGCGTGCGACTGTGCTGTCATTATTTAATTAATTTTAAATAGAAAAGGTGAGTGTAAGTTGATGATACTTTGACAATTAGTTGTTAAAAGCATATACTTGTTGATTTTATGTTAAAAAATAATAAATACTCTCTTAATTCGGTTATAACAGAATTAGAAAAGTACTATCACCGAATTATGGTGTTTGTCACAGAATTAGACAAGTCATCGCGGTTTGATTAAGCTCATTTTACGCTGAGTTGATTCATATATATTAAGATTACACTTGCTCATATGATAAATAGAAGACTGATTAATGTTCCTATTAAAAATAAAAATAAAATTTATAAAGTTTAACCTGTTTTTTTTTCACATTCTTTTTTATCACAGAATTAGATGAGTTGACCCTACTAGCGACTAGTAATTAGTAATTATCACCTTTCTATGTTTCCCTTTTTTCCGTGATAAAGTACGTTCATTACGTTCCAACCCTTCTTGAAGCTCACGAACCGTTTCAGCTGTAAACAAAATACAATTGTAACAAAAAAAATCAACCACTTCACAATCCAAACTAGTCCAAACTAATATTATAAATGCGAAAGTAATTCGTCTGTCTGTCTTTTCTTTACGCCTAAACTGATATCTGTGAAATTTGGTACAGACATAGTTTGACGCTTAGCTTAAGTCGACCAATGACAGCCTCTGACGGATTTCAAAGTCAAATTCAGAGCCAAAATCATTTATACCAACTATACCATAAACAGGTACTTTGGAAACATCAAAATGTTAGTCAGTTCGTCAGTGAAGCTAACGAGCACCGTTTTAAAGTGTAGATTCGAATGGAGAAGAACGAGCAACAAACTCCAATATTGTTAATGGTCCAATTTTACATATTAGTTAAGGCATAGAAAATTACTATACAATATTATGGTACTATGGAAGTGATTTGACAAAGGACATACACTAGGTTCTGCCCGCGGCTTCGCCTGCGTGGTATGTTGATAAAAAGTAGCCCATTCCTATTCCGGGGTGTATCCTATGCCTGTGCCAAATTTCATCTAGATCCGTCCTGGTCCATCGTTTTGGCGTGACTGAGCAACAAACATCCAAACATCGTAACTTTCGCATTTATAATATTAGTAAGAAGTAAGATACAAACTAGTGTTTGACTGCAATCTCACCTGATGGTAAGCACTCGGGATATTCCACAATCCTCATAATGACAATAAAATTAATCTATACTAATTATTATAAAGAAGTATAATTTGTAAGTTTGTATGTAGGGGGTAATCATTGGAACCGCTGGTTGGATTGCCAAAATTCTTTCACTGATAGATAGCTAACAATGTTCCTAAGTGATATAGGCTATAAAACATCACGCTACGATTAAGCGGAGCTCTGAGTAGCAGGTAAAACCGCGCTAGAGTAGCAAGTTGTAAATAAAAGGTGAAATAACGATTAAAAGGGTGATGATAATACTAACGATAATCGCAAAGGTTAAACCACGTAGAAGATCGTGATCCACGGTATGGACAGAGTTCAGTTGGTGCGGAAGGGTTCCATATTCGGCGGTGTAGCTGCGGCCCAGCTGGAGCTAGGTTGCAGACTAGACGATCCACTTTCCGGAGAACACCTTTCCAGGGCGCCTGATTAAAGATCAACATTACAAAGAGTTCTAAGACGAAGTATTTCTCTTTATATACTCACTAGCTTTTGCCTGCGACTTTTTTCGCGTGTCATATTGACTTTCTGCAGATTTTTGGTTTAAAAACTATCCTATGTCCTTTTTGGGGTCCATACTATGTCTGTACCAAATTTCACACAAATACGTTCAGTAGTTTAGGAGTGAAGAAAAGACAGACAGACAGAGATACTTTCGCATTCATAATATTAGTTTGGATTTGGATTCAAATTATTTTAATTAGACATCTCTCAATTCAATTTTCAATTATTTCAACCAAAATTGTGGGATCCACATTCCTACAATCAAAAAGACGCAGCTGCAGTTATAACTGTTGGGCGAGTGCCCAGAACTGATTATAAAGCGTTAGACAATAAGTCAGCCAGTCAGTCTGTCGTATAATACCTACAATAAAAATAGACAAATGAAAACAAACATACTATATGTATAATATGTGAACAATAACACATTAATTCGTGTTACCAACACTTATACTAGGCATACTTAGTTGAAAATCCAACGAATAAACAAAATAAAGCAATGTATTTAGTAAAAAAATGCAATATTTGCAATGCAAATGCAAACCTGAAATTGACTGTGAGCACATCCCACCATATAACTCTTAGCCCAATAGAGTTGTGCAAAATCACCGTAGTATCTGCTACCGTTGCTTGGACTATAAACAAACAGATGAATACGTTACTGGATCTGAATACTACACAACATAAAAAACACGTACCTACAGCGATAGAAGTATGTTTTTGTGAGGGAAAAATCATCAAATGACTTCTCCCGCCCAGGGCCGGGCGGAAGGGAGTGTCAGACTCTTACTGACTATAAACCCCCCTGTTCCTTCTCCTGCTCCGGGCCGAGGGCGCGGTGCCTCATTGCGCTTACCCCGCAATCCCAGCTGAACATCAGCCCTATAGGGCCCCGTCTGTGGTGGTCTATTGGTTCTTTGAGACGCGTGCGGAACGCTACGCGCTATACACTCGGGTAGAAGTAGAAGGTTAAGGCTTTGAATTGTGGGAGAGCCATGCTTCGGCACGAATGGGTCGGCTCAACCGGAGTGATACCACGGCCTCACAGAAGACCGGCGTGAAACAACCACAGCGTTGTGTTTCGCCGTGTGAGTGAGGTTACCGGAGCCCCAATCCTTCCCCGCCCCAATCCCTCCTCAATCCTTAAATCTCCAAATCCCTAATCCCTAAAAGGTCGGCAACGCACTCGTAACTCCTCCGTTGCGGGTGTCCATCAGGTAATCCGTCTGCTCGTTTGCCGACCAATTACATAAAAAAAAATATGTGCATATAAATTTTGGTAAAAACAAATAAAGCCGTTTTGGAGGAATAAGGTAATTAACATTGTGACACGAGAATTTTATAAGAAATTCACTAGAATAAATCAAAAACGTTTGGTTACCACAACACTGCTAGCAATAATAACAATAAAACAAATATTCTTACAAATATTCTTATTTCTATAGTAAGGGAAAGTCTCATAGGTTAAAACCCTGCTTCAGTACCCTTTGGACCGAAATGAGACCATGACCCCAAAAAAAGCTGACAGTGAAAAAACGCTTGCGTTGTGTCTCTCTCTAGAAGTGAGGTTACGGCAGGGCCAATCTTTCCCAACCGACTACAATCCTTAAATCCCTAACCCGAAAAGGCTGGCAAAGCACTTGTATTACAGATGTTCATTATCAGGGTCCAATCCTCCCCCGTCCCTATCCTTAATCCTCAAATCCCTACCCCAAAAATCACTAATAACTAACAAGAAGCCGACAATCCACTTGCAGTAACTCCTTTGGTATTGCGAATGTCGTTGGGCGGCGCCGATTACTTACCATCAGGTAATTCGTCTGCTCGTATGCCAATCTATGCCATAAAAAGGGGGCCTTTCTTTCAATTAGGTGATCCATCGAATATAATATGTACATTTGAATAATAAAACTCACGGCACATAACTGGTGATACTGTGATTATAGTATTTGCTTTGTCTGTTCCATACGTCGATCATGAGGTCGACTCGTACTGCTCTGTTACTAATAACCGACGCCACACACTGGCCGACTGTCAATGAATCTGACAAAAATGCAAAATTGAAATTAAGAATCCATACATTTTTATAATGTTGTTTCTGTTAACTAAGACTATATTATCTAGAAAGCTTATTTCCTTGGCTACGTGTGCAATAGGTACCACCAGAGTCATCGTCATTTTTAAAATACATATTGCAGAATACCGACATCGGCTCGACCGGTGTGATACCACGGCCTCACAGAAAACCGGCGTGAAACAACCACACCGTTGTGTTTCGCCGTTTCGGTGCGGTTACCGGAGGCCCAATCCTTTTCCACCCCCAATCCCTAATGCCCAAAAGCTCGGTCACGCACTCGTAACTCCTTGTTGCGGGTGTCCAAGGGCGGCGCTGATTGCTTACCCATCAGGTAATCCATCAGCTCGTTTGCTAGTCTATTACATAAAAACAAAACGTCGTGTTTCGCTATGTGAGTGAGGTTACCGGAGACCCGATGATTAATCCCCCATCCCTGCACAAACTCTAAATTTCTGAAACCTTATCTACAAAAGGCCGACAACGCACTCGTAACTCCTCTGATGCTGCGAGTGTTCATGAGCGGTACCAATTGCTTACCATCAGTTAATCATATTTTTGCCGTTTACTGCTTGATGAACTAACGGCACCATTTTTTGGGAAATCGAAAAATATTTTACGTAAGGACTTTCTCCAGTATCGTGAGTCTATAACATACAAATTCATATCAGACTTAAAACAATTTGTGGTTCACACAAAGTGTCGGAATTTGCCCAGTCACTGCGCCAACCGTGCAGTAAATTTCCTATTACACAGGACCTTTAACAAAAATGGCGATAGAGATTGATTATTGGATGTTAAAATGTCAGAGCATCGCAAACTAAATTTTAAAACTTACATAGATCACGACATGTGTCATGTTCTTCAATGGGGTTTGGCGGACGACACTGGTCTGCCCAGCGCTGGGCTAAACGAGCCAGCTCCTCAACCCAATGCTGTTAAACAATAAAACCAATAGCATATGTATTGTGGAACGGTAACAAAATAACATGCACTAATTATCAGGTAAAGAGATGTTTACGAAGAGTGCAGGCCTCCCCTATCTATCTGCACATAAAGATGTCGTTAGAGTCACCCTTTCTTTGGTAAGGTTTGCACCACCACAAGTCGTTCTTTCTCTTTGTTATTCTTTTCACACTTTTAAGTTTTTCATAGGTCCCTCTTTTTATTTTTTCAAATCTTTCTACGTCCTCTTACCATTTGGCTCTGGGTGAGGCTGAAAACCCTAATCTAATACCTAATCCCCAAAAGGCCGGCAACGCGCTCGTAACTCCTTCGGCTATGAGCTGCGTCGATTACTTATAGTCATATAAGAGGTCTGGTCGGTTGCCGCCCTATGGTATAAAATACCATGTTGTTACAAATGGATAGATGATGTCAAACTTATAAAAAATATAAGTCGAGGTTTCCTCACGATATTTTCGTTCGCTGTCATTGAGTCGTATCTAAATTATAATATAATCAGTAGTATCTAAATTATCTTACATAGAAATAAAGTACTTATGAATTGAGAACTCACATTGGCACTTGCAGGTTTCGAAACCCGCACCTTTATGAAAAACCTGCCAGCGCAAATTCTAGTTACTATTAGGGAACAGTTTGATTTCTCATGAATACACAGGGGTATTCCTACAAAATCTATTACCTATACATAGATTGACGTACCAGTTTCATCATATTCCCTGCAGGAGGAAACCCAGGCAATCCTCCAGCTGCAGCTTTATTCCTGCCACTGTTCAAACGCTTTAGTATTCTCAACTTCTCTCTGCTTCGAAGCTTAACATTTTCATACCCAACGCACTTTGGACTGGGACCTTTCTGTGGAATCATTAGAATTGTTTTGTTATAAGAATTTGAATAGTTAACATCCTCAATATAACGCCTCCTGACTGGAGACAAAGAAAACGACAAACATTTTTATTCCCTTTTTTTTAAGACTAAAGTTTGCCGCACTCTACGTTATCCTAAATCATGGGTGCGTTTACAAACATACAAATTCAGATACACAAGCCACCCAAACACAAAACAACAATTTGTGGAGCACACAAAGTGTGGATCACTCAAATCAGTCAATATACTGCCTAATCTGATAAAGATTCAGTAGCAACTTTAATACAAGTAGGAAAACCAAGAGAAATGTAGTTTGACACGAGAACTTTACTTACAGGATACTGGCAGTAAGTATGTGTATTTTTATTTCCACACATTCTAGCGCCGCAGTAGTTGACGGAGCTGGTGGCAACGAGTGAGAGTACGCCGAACAACACAAGCACTACGCTAAGCATTTTAATATTGATAAACAATTAATTTTATACATTTTAATCCAAACAAAATACTTTACTATTACTGTGTCGCCCGTGTAATACTGAAAATTCACGGCAAATTGTATATTATTGAGTCACGGTTTGAGTTTAAGATTATAAATGTTTGTTTGGATAAACTGTGTCTATGGTGCATAGGATAGAAAGTTTATATAATTCTGAAAAAAGGTTACATTTTCAAAAAGATTTTTTTCTACTTGGTTCTAAATGTTCTTCACTGCTCGAGCAGACGTCTCTAAAAGCAAACAGGTGGTCTGTTTTACATCTGTTACACAGATAGGGTCCAATAGTGTTAATGTTCCGCTGGGATAATTTCGGGGTCAAGAAAACGAAGAGGAATTACTTAGTGACGCCCCACCCAAGACGAGAGATATCTCGCGCGGGTAATGACGAGAGAGTGTCAGACTCTTCCTAACTAAAATTTTCTCTGGCCAGGGCATCATGTTCAAACGATTAGACCGATCCCAATAATTCATTTTACACTGTTTTTGGTAGGATATGAAGATACACGGAAAATAGCAGTGCTTTCGGTGCCGTAGCAATTTCCTAGCAAATCAAAAGACTGACACCTAGGTAGTAGGACAGCCATGCGAAGCAATGGCAGGCCACTAGTATAAAAAAAGTAAGTACCTTAGAGACACAAATTATATTTAAAAGAATCAAGTAAAAACAACCAAATAAAAGTATCAATCATTTTAATAGCAAATAAATCTATACAATTAAACGTCATTAACAAAATAAATCTAAAATATACCTAAAAAATTACAAACACAAAGCAAAAACTATCACAAGAGACGGGGCGACACTAGTTCCACTAGAGTATCTAAATGAAAATGGATCAAAATTTGCTGTTTCTCGACTTTGGCTCTCAGTATGGTGACGTGATTTTTTATCTCTTTTAGATCTTCGTATACGATGCAGGGCCTGTTGGGAAAACAAAAAACGCCTTAGGACTCAATTATAAAAAATCTGGTACATAATATATTTTTAAAAAAATAATAGTAGTCTTAAATGAAAGAACCCATGATGAAAGAACAGGACAAAATATTAATAAATCCATCTAAAAAATATCCAAGAATCGGAAATAATAGAAGAAGCTGATTAAAGTCTAATCGTTAAGTGCTTCAGGGTCAGTTCAGATCTGACAGAAAGTATAAGCCTAAGCCCGAATAGACATACAAAAAATATATATGGGTACTTCTCGATTTTTTTATCTCACCTGGCTGTAACCATTGAACATATTCTATACCGAGAAGTTATTATATTCATACCTTTCGACGCTTCCCTTTCTTTCGTGATAAAACACGTTCATTACGTAATAACGTTTCTTGCAGCTCTCCAACCGTTTCAGCTATGAATACAAAACAATTATATTACTATTGCATCTTGCAATCAACAATATCTTATAGTTTGTTTCATCATTTATTTTTTGCTTATTATTATTAACTCCTGTTACGTGTAGGGCAGAGTTTCCCTACAAAGTGAAGACCTGATTAGGTTCATATATGGGAGTTGCTGCACTGGATTCAGTTCAGCTTCCGATCGGCCTATTTGAAAGTTATTAGAGAAAACCAATTTTCTGCAGTGACGTCTTGTGACGATGATGATAATACTTATATATATTTATCCCTAAGTTTATTATTCATGTTTATACTAACGGTATTCACAAAGGTGATGCCATGTTAGAGATTGTGATGAGCCATATGGGCAGAGGAAAGCTGGTACAGCGGGGACCCATAATCGGTGCTTCGGCTTGGGCCCAACTGGTGCTATGTTGCAAACTAGACGCTCCACATTTCGAAGTTCACCTTGCCAAGGCGTCTGAAAAAAGAAGTTAATATACATGGCAGGAAACTTTCGAAGTTCAAAAATGACAACATCGCACTTTCTTAGAGAGATTATTCATGAACATACATTACAGCCCTGCTAGCCGCTGCCACTACAAATATCTATTTTGTTTCAATTTGGCACCATAAAGAAAGAAAGTACATAACTTTTATTACACATACATATTTACAAGATTATTAATTTGTAAATTTCAAATCTCGTACGAAATTTCATATACCTTAAATCGACTGCGACCACAACCCACCAGATTACTTTTCGCCCAAAGGATCTGTGCAAAATCGCCGTAGTATTTGCTACTGTTACTTGGGCTGAAAACAAACGACCTATTGATTTAGTACATTGATATTGTCGCGAAAAATAGCGAAAGCGCGTAAAAGAGAAATAGAACGACATGTACTTTAAGTGTTTGAAATAGTAATGAAAGATTCATCAAAAAGAAACAAGTGTTTTAGTTATATATACATATATTCAAGTATATACTGTTAAAAAGCATCGATCTCCCTTCGAAAGATTTGCAGTTCGAAGTGATAGTTTGGCGACGATTGACAACGCAAAAACGCTAGGTACTACTGGTTTCCAGAAATGTCTATTAGAATCAGAAAATTCAGGATGGAGGAATGCTGGGCCAAATAAATTTTAATTAAAGAACTCACGGCACGTAAGATGTGATACTATTGTTGTAAAGCGTGCTTTGTATGTACCAAATGTCGACCATTTGCTCAACTTGAACTTGCGTGTCGCCCACTACTGACGCCACACACTGGCCGACAGTCAATGAATCTGATGGAAAAAACAAAGCCGACGATTATTAATTATAAATTTAAAATTTAAAAAACCCCCGACAGTAAATCTAATGTTCCTTTAAAAAGTAATAATTAAAAGAAAACGTGGCGTTGGGGGACCGATCCAAATATTTTATTATCAACTACAGATTTCTATTTTGTCGGGGTTCTAATTTATTTTTTATTTTATACTTTTTATAGGTATTTTATATCATTTTCTCTCGATTAAGTCATCAACATTCCCTTTCAGTGCGCTTTCATTTGACACCCCACTCGAGTATTTTTTGCAGACCTTCGGTTACTAATCCCCACTTACCCCTTCATAACTTCTAAACGGCTCAACCGATTTTCGTCTAACATGTCTAAGAACACTCACACGTAACTCACCTTTAATAAAAAAAAAACTAAATTGAAATCGCTTCATCCCTTCAGGCTCCAGGATGCCACAGACTTTTTGCGTCGGGGGTTAAAAATACGTATGATTTTGTGATCTAAACCGTTTTGGTAGTTCTACTAAATTTAAATCATTACATCGAAACCGTACATACTTTACGTGTTGAACTTCAAATGTATATTGGCCATAATTTTGTTAATAAATATTAGCATGCATCACTGTGAACATTATAAGCCACTATAACCTACATATATCCATAGTACATGAGACTCTTATAGAATGCAATATGAAAAAAAGATGTGGTTGTATTATTGAATTCTTATTAGAAAGAAATATTATGAATAATATTAGAAAACTTACATAGATCACGGCAAGTGTCATGTTCTTCGATAGGCCGCGGTGGGAGACACTGATCTGCCCAGCGTTGAGCTTCACGAGCCAGCTCTTCGACCCAAACCTTAACAATAAAAACACTAGTAAATAGGTATCTGTTATTATCACCAAGCGTAACAGAAACTACGGTGTACACAAAATATAACAATGAAGCTACACAACACTACCCAAAAGACCGCACAGTGATAAGTAGATCTAATCTGAGCTTCTACAGAATCTATTCGACATATATGCACAGATTATCGTACCATTTTTAACATGTTTCCAGCTGGGGGAAAGCCCAGTAATGCCCCAGAAGCCGCTTCATTCCTTCGACTGTTGAGCCGCGCCACGATTCTTGTCTTCTCGTGTGTTCTAAGCCTGGCGTCTTTATACGCAACGCACTTAGCACTGGGTCCTTTCTGCATAATTCATGGAATGATTCGTTTTGAAAATATTCTAAATGTACAATGTACCTGATTGTGAAATAGACCTTAGTGGCGTCCCAATTATGAGGTCATTCTACTGAGGATGGAAACAGGCTGATACGTGCCACTTTAAAGTAGACGGACGTTGATTAAGCCCTAAAAATTTAGTATTACACCTATATGCCAAGTCAGGTAGCAATTGCTCCTTGAAAAATGCTGATATCGACTCAAATGTAGTTAGGTTGGGAAAGCCATCTTTAAAACAATTTGACTGCGAGATTGGCGCAGTGGGTGGACAATAAGTATAGTTTGAGCAGCGTGACACGGGCTCGGCACTATTAGGGTTGCCACCTTTTTTTGCAGTTAATAAAGTACATTGGTTATTATAGGTAAGAAAATAAAAGTACATGGGATCAAGATAAAGTACAAATTATTTTTCTTTATTTTTATATTTCAAAACATATTTTTGTTGCTTTTTGCAGTTTGCATTAAATAAGGATCCCTACTAAAACATCTTTACAGTCTTTATTAAATGCAGATACGCTTTGTTTCTTTCATTTCTTCATATTTCTTCATCTCGCTGTTCATTACAGACTTTTCAAAATCCCAAAAAATTCAAATCATACAAAATAAAGTATTTTCGTGTACTTTATTGTTCTCATAAAGTATAGAGTACAATTATATGAAATAGAGTACAATACTTTATTATAAAGTACGGGTGGCAACCCTAGGCACTATTAGCATGATTCAATCTTTGTTTTTTCTGGATCTGGTCGTATTGTGTAACTGAATGTTTGGTCGTATTGTAGGTCATATGAAACTGAATGTTTGTAAACATATCACGATACATGAGCATAACCTCGTCCTACATAAAAAAGTACTAAAATAGTTAGGAAAAGGCCTGCATTAAAAACAGAAAAGTATGATAAGATCGAACTCGCAGCACTTTCTGGTTAATAACCTAATAAAGTACAAGCCTTAATTACGATTTTAAAATAAATATGCTTACATTAGAAACTAAGGAAATAACGAGTGATGAATTCAGTTAACTGCAATCCTTATCACAAAAATAAAGTTTTACTATAGCAATAAAAAATACCTACTACTTACAGGATACTGGCAGAAAGTATGTTCATCCGTGTTTCCACACATTCTAGCGCCGCAGTAGTTGACGGAGCTGCCGGCTGCGAGTGCGAATACGCCGGACAACACGACTACAACACCGAGCATTCCATCATGATAAACATGTAATTTTCTGCATTTTATTTTGTTCTTTACTCTTTGTGTCATTGTGTCACCCATGGCATTTGGTGGCATTACTATTATATAACTTGTCTCTATAATATAGTTTATAGTTAAGGTCTAATTGTGTCTAGTCAAGGTTTCAATTCTTTGTTTATGGTACATGGGGTAAGAGGTTTGAAATCATTGCAACCATAATACTAGAAAGTTTATTTTCCGCATAGATATGGGAGAACTATGCTTCAACATGAATGGGTCGGCTAGACCAGAGTCGTACCACGGCCTAGAAAATTGGTGTGAAACAACCAGAGCTTTGTGTTTCGCCGAGTGAATCTCCAAAACCCTAATCCGTAAAAGGATGTACTCGTAACTCTTCCATTGGTGTAGGTGTCCATAGGCAGTACTGATTGCTTGCCATCAGATAATCTGTGTGAACGTTTGCTATCATATCAATTGAAACAAAAAAATTGGTTCCATCCGTGCGCTTTGAAACCGGGACCTGGCATAATTAATGGGTGTCTTTTTGCCTTTATTTCACCATTTTCTCGCAGTCACAGTGTGACGTTTGAATGGTACAACTTTTATGCCAGAGAATCTATCTCCGGCAGCTGAAGGCTGTTTTAATTTAAGCTACTTTTGGCGATTCGAAAGTCAGTCGGTGAGGGCAAAAAGATTGATATTACAAAGACACTCAATCAAAGGAACTTGAATGTAAATATGTATGACCTTTCCAACGTAAACATTAAAACGTCCATGGTAAGAACAATGGTGAAAATGATATAAATATGTTTTGGGGTTCACCGTTGATTTTAAGTAGGTATAAACAAATAAAGAAAACGTACGCAAATGTAAAAAGCATTATATATGTATAAGAAAAACGAAACCGTTACAATATGTATAACAAAGAAAATGCATCTAAAAATTATACCTAAAAATTAAAAACACAAAATTAAAACTGTCACAAGTGACGGAGTGACATGACTAGCTGTATTTGCAGCAATAACCTCCATTGGCGTATTTTCTGGATAATCTGCCATTGAAGGTATTAATTTTATGATGGCCATAAATGGATTAACACTTTTTGATTGGGTGGTTAGAAACCTTTTATATCCACGTGTCGTTGGTTCTTCATCCCAAAAATTAGGCATCCCTCTTCGAACCTGGTGATAAACAATTTATGTAGTTAACAAGTGCTTATTTGCGAAATTTTTATCGAAGTATGAAGAGTTTGTGTGTCAAAATTCAACGTAGATATCTAATCTATATCTACATATATATATATATAAAAGAAAGTCGTGTTAGTTACTCCACTTATAACTTAAGAACGGCTGAACCGATTTAGCTGAAAATTGGCAGGGAGGTAGTTTAGAGCCAGGAGAAGGACATGGGATAGAGTAGGTGGAATCGGTTAGGTAGAGTAGGGTAGGTAGTGCAGGGTAGGTAGTGTAGGGTAGGTAGAGTAAGGTAGGTAGAGTAGGGTAGGTAGAGTAGGGTAGGTAGAGTAGGGTAGGGTAGGGTAGGTAGAGTAGGATAGGTAGAGTAGGGTAGGTAGAGTAGGTTAGGTTAGGGTAGGTAGAGTAGGGTAGGGTAGGTAGAGTAAGGTAGGGTAGGTAGAGTAGGGTAGATAGTCAAATGACGAGAGCGACGCCGCGGGTAAGAGCTAGTATTATATAAAAGAAAGTTGTGTTAGTTACTCCACTGATAACTCAAGAATGGCTGAACCGATTTAGCTGAAAATTTGTAGGGAGGTAGCTAAGAACTGGGAGAAGGACATAGGATGGGATAGCATAGAGTAGTGGAGTAGGGTAGGCAGAGTAGGTTAGGGTAGGTAGGGTAGGCAGAGTAGGGTAGGTAGATTAGGGTAGATAGAGTAGGGTAGGTAGTCAAATGACGGGAGCGACGCCGCGGGTAAGAGCTAGTATTATAATAAAATCTAATAATAAAAAGTTTAGTGATTATGACGATGGGGAACAGCAACTTCCATTGAACCCACCTGCGGCATCCGCATAGTAAGATGTCGTGGGCAACAAATATTAAGTAACCAATACTTATTACAGGTGTCTCGGAAAACCAGAAAGCAAAAGGTTTTTGGCTCTGCCCCTATTGCAGTGGCAAGTCTTTTATTAAGTGGTTAGAGGTATGCTACGGCGTTCCCACCTCACTCCTGCCCTGACGCAGATGCTTCCTGTCTACGTCTAATTCAGATTCGGAAGAAACGTGAAAACGCGATGTCAACGTCGCTTCTGCGCAACGTTAACGTCGCATTTGTTGGCAACAGGTATACAATCATGTCGTCCTTTCCTATCAAATGTTATTTTTAGTATATTCTTGTTTGTACACGAAAACGAACGAGTGTAGAACATACCTTTTTTCTTCTATGTTTTCCTTTGTTTGATAATTCGCGTTCTTTACGATACAACGCTTCTTGCATTTCACGAACCGATTCAGCTGCGAACAAGAAATTGTTATGAGGAGAATCATTGTTATTTCGCTTTGGTGCGCTTCGACTCTCCCGCAAACATCGATTTTAAACAAGTATAATACTAACAATAATCACACAGGCCTCTCGTCGTGTAGGACAGCTGCGCACGAGGTGGGCAGGAAGAACCTGGTGGGCCAGGGGTCCATATTGAACGCGACACTTGTGGCCCAGCCGGTGCTATGTTGCAAACTAAACGCTCCACACGCTCGAGACGACCTTTCCAAGGTGCCTAATAAAAGATGTAAATACATGTATGCATTACAAAAGGCTATGAAAGTCCCTCATTATGATCGCAAAGCCCTAAAGAAAGTATCCATTCAGCATCCTACTTTATCCAAATTAGTGTTTGAGTCCCAGATCCCTTTTTGGGATAAAAAGACCTCGGTACGACTAAACGGGACCCCATCAGCAACGACCCTAATATGACCCGTTTGTGGTGGTATAACGTTTTTTCGTGGCTCGCGATTACCACGCGACCCCACTACCCATAGCGCTTACTGTTGGTTACGACATGAGATGGTTAATTTTCTTACCCATTTCTCCGTCGTTTTTGCTAGCATAAATTTATTAAGAAAGAAGACACAGGATTTCCCTGTTAATTACTCTCTCTGAACTGTACCAGAACTGGCCCAAGAGGTCATCACCTCCGAATGTTTCCCTGACGAGGGCAGATATGGCTGTTCTCAGCACAAGCAGGACACACCACAACCGTATGCTCCACTAGTTTTCATTCCACCGTCTTGCCGCAACCGCGATGACGGACGTCGACCTAGATCCCTTATATGACAGTCACGGTTATACTACTCGACCAGAGCAGTCATAGGACCGCAAACATTTTTATTTTCAATTTCCAATTAGATTTCTTCATTTTGGACTGTCAAATAAGTTAACTACAATGCACTCACCAAAAATCGACTGCGGGCACAACCCACCATATAACTTTTCGCCCAAAACATTTGTGCGAAATCGCCGTAATATCCGCTATCGTTACGTGGGCTGTAAAGAAACAGATGACGTGAAATCTAGCGTGACATTATAGACTCGTTAAACATATTCATAAAGATTGTGATAGATAGTGATATGTATAGTCAGAATTTTAATTCGATTCCTCATTTGACATGACCTACTGTCATTTTGTGAAATAATGATACCACATATAACAGTATAGTGATGAACACAAAAATCAATAAACAATCAGCGAATCACTTCCAGGAAGGCATTAAAAAAATTACGGCTACCGAATGGTCTAAATGCGTATCCCATGTAGTCAAAGAAGAGAAAAAAATTAGTAACTTAGATATGTTAATTGACAATAAATATCACAGACACAATTCATAATAAATTTTACAGAAAGTAATAGCGATAGCGATAGCGATGACGGCGACAATTTATAAAATGTCTGTTTTATTTGTCATGTTTCTTCATGATCACATTTTTTATTAATTTCACACACAATTACAAAAGAAAAGTCTCAGATCGTTAATTAATTGTCAAAACTAAATTTTCGGTTCAGAAATATTTGATTTCCTGATAAACTTAGTTTATGAGAGTAAATTTATAAACGAGAGGAATCGATTCAGAAATATTCGATTTCCATATCGAATAATTTCGCAACGTCACTATTTAATACGTGTCATAACGTTGCAACACTGAAATTGTCAAATCTGGAATGGAATTAAAATTCCGAGTATAGTTATTTGCACTCACAAATAAGTGTGACAGAAGCAATAGTGCGAGCAATTAAATTAAATTGATAAAAAATGACAGCTTTTCGTATTGATATTGGGCTATTGCTATGCACCATTATATTATTTAAATAAATAATTATATATATTATATAATAATAATTATCATATTATGTGATGACCACTGGCTTATCTACTTATATGTGTCCTTATGTGACAAATTCCTCTGGCTCAATCTGACCTCCCTTATTAGATTTTCAGCTCTAATGTATGTATTATAGCTATTATGCTAACTGTTACAATATTTATATAGATAAAACATTCTATATTATACACCATTGTCCAAGTTTTATTATTTATGAATTAAGATCTTACTAGTACTTGATCTAACGTTGCAGAGAAATATATTTGAATACCAAAACTCACGGTACGTAGTTGTCCACACTGCTGTTGTAAATAAGGTTTTGAAGGTACCAAATGTCAAGCATTTGCTCAACTCGGGTTGGTCTTAGGCCAACTACTGAAGCCACACACTGGCCGACTTTCACTGAATCTGATAGAAAAATACACAGTAAATTTATTTTATCTAGTGCCTAGTTTTAGTTAGTTTAACATCAGTGCCTTGTTTCCGCTGAACGTACTCAAAATCTATTTCACTTAGATCCTTTTTTTGTTAGGAGAAAATTATCAAATGACTTCTCCCGCCTAGGGTAGGACGAGAGAGAGTGTCAGACTCTTACTGACTAAAAACCCTCCCGTTCCTTCTCCTGCTATGAGTCGAGGCCACGGTACCTCGTTGCGTTTACCCCACAACCCCATTAGAATCAATTAGACACTTTTGAACGTCAAACAAAGCTTAAAGATAAAAATGTTTGTCTGTCGGTATGTCCTCGTAGACCACTCCAAAAGTATGCAACTGTACTCGATTTTAGCTCTTCGAATAGCACTGGTGATCCAGTTCGAAAAACGGTATTTTCTAATTGATAATGTGGATGTATCACGAACTACTTTCAAACTTACATAGATCACGGCATGTGTCGTGTTCTTCAATGGGCTTAGGCGGACGACACTGGTCGGCCCAGCGCTGGGCTAAACGAGCCAGCTCCTCGACCCAATGCTTTAAACAATACAAATATTAACATATATAGGTACATACACGGGTACATATACCTATTACAAAATTAAATCTAAAGACAGACAGACAGTCTGTCTGTGCCCAACAGATCGAGACGCCGCAGACCGAAATTTCATCAGCCTTATCTGTGATGCGAATTATCAGACACAACACAAGAATATCCCTTTTGCGAAGATAATTGGTAGGAGTTCTTGATGGGTGACCTAGCTGAACTCACAATGTTTGGTCCAATACAAACAGCTAAGGACTATATCTAGCTACATTTTGAAAGTGTGCGTCCCAATGACAAATTCATCAACACAGAGTTAAAGCACACAATGACATAAAACACGCCGATTGCTCTACATTTTTTCCAACATGATAATAGAAGTACTTTACGCTGTCCTGACGCCAAAACGATTACGTTTACAAACAAAAGTTTTTTATGCATACACTTTATAAATCGGTTTATTTTAGTTTTATAAAAATCAAAGTATAAATTTAGAAGGAGCAAAATATTAATAGCGATACCTAATATTCCCTATTTTAGAACCTACTGGAAAACTTTTCAAGCAAAACTGACAAACGACTGGACTATTATTAATACTGTAGCGACATCTAGCGCACTACCTTAACAAACAGCACCAATCACGTGCAAGAGTCTACATCGCGCTATAAGAGTTTTCCACACAATTAGCACCCATACAGATATCGGTCGAGTCGGGCAGTAGCCCACCAGGCACGAACACCTCGCCTTGTCGGAGGATCCTCCCTTTTCAATGGAGGATGAGGAACTTTCCACCCTGTTCCTCATACCTCTAAAATACTATACACGTATTATAAAGTTGAGTGTGTCTATCCGCAACATCGATTGTAGACAGATTATCGTACCATTTTCAACATGTTCGTAGCTGGAGGATAGCCCATTATTACGCCGAATGCGGCATCGGCCCTCAAACTGTTGAACCGAGCCAAAATTCTCCTCTTCTCTTGTGAGCCAAGCTTGGAGCCTATGTAGCCTTCGCATTTAGCACTGGGACCTTTCTGTGTAATTCATGAAATAATTCCGTTATCTTATAACAATAAATTTGGTTATTAATTTTTGATGGTGTCTGACTGGAAACAAAGTACTGAAGTGAGCCCAGAGTTATATGTCACTGGCGAGGCTTCCCCTGCAGTGGTATAGAAACATCCCATAGGAGGGCTAACCAATTTTTATACGTAAATACTCAATATTAGTTTACAATCATCCAAAAATCTAGTAAATTATGTGTTGATATATACACGCGGATTGAAAAACAAAACGTGGGATTCCTCTATTGCTAACTAGGGGAAAAACTTTCAGGTTTTTTTGGGACAAGCCCACCGATGTCTCCCAGTGCTGCTGCAACTCCTGTACGCCAGGATCTTCAGTATATACAACCATGAAAACACCGGAACACTGAAGTCCGGCAGTGACATGAATGACTGTCTTGGATCCCGCAATGAAATAAATCAGAAGATATTGTTTGAGAAGAAGAAAAAACTAAATAGTTTCCACTTTCCTCGTTAAATTGAAAGCAGGAGGCGGAATGACTTAAGCCTTAAAGGCACAAAAGAGACTTACAGGATACTGGCAGAAAGTATGTGCATTTGTGTTTCCACACATTTTAGCGCCGCAGTAGTTGACGGAGCTGGCGGCAGCGAGTGCAAGTACACCGAACAACACGACGAGAACTCCGAGCATTCCATTTTGATACATAAATTTTCCACATTTTACTGTATTGCTTACTTTTTCCATCATTATGTCACCCGTCACAAGTCACATCTTCCCCTTTTGCTTATTAAGTTAGACACACTTGTGTGACGTGGCATGTCGTGTCACGACAGAACGACTAACACTTTAAGTATTATTACTTTACTCTATGGAGTGCCATTTAATACCAATAAGAATGCCTATTTAATACTAAAAAGAATGCCTCGGTTTCATGCATTTGACAGAATTTGTGGATCACACAAAGAGTTAATGTATGACACGCCACGACACAGTATTGTCACAAATTTTGCCATGCTTCGGCACGAATGGGTCGGCTCGACCGGAGTGATACCACGGCCTCACAGAAAACCGGCGTGAAATAACCACAGCGTTGTGTTTCGCAGTGTGAGTGAGGTTACGGGAGGCCAAATCCTTCCCCACCCTCAATCCCACCTCAATCCCTAATCCCTAAAAGGTCGGCAAGGCACTCCGTCCTCTCTATTACATAAAAAAGGGGCTGAAGAGTCTACATCTACGCAGCAATGTGTGGAAATCAATTATTTTTATGGGATAACCGGTAACCCTGACACATACGGCTAAACACAATTCTGTAGTTGTTTCACACCGGTTTCCTTTAAGGCCGTGGTATCATTCCGGTAGAGCCGAACCATTCGGGCCGTAGTATCTGCGGCATTAGTATATTCATATGTGTGTGAGATTCATGTGAAAGTTTTATTTTCCTTTATCGTTGAAGTCATTGTATTGCTTTTGTATGGTACGAATTATAAGCCTCGTAAAGCTGACGGAAAATTCGGGTAAATAGTGAAAGGCGTACTTAATTCGCTTTTGCAAATAAATAAAACAAATCAAATAATTATGTCAAAACCTTTATGTATAAGAAATACGAAACAGGTATAAATGTATACAAAACTGTCGCAATAGACGACATGGCACGGCAAGCAGTATTGGCTTGCGCAGCCATTGCTCTTTTAAAATCTTCTGGATAATTTTCCAGATTATAATCTGCCATAGACGGTATCAATTTTATGAGACTTATTACTGGATGGTTACCTTTTGTTTTACCGACTGTAATATTTATATTTATAATTGTTGTCATTTCTTCCTCAGTGTCATTGGACAGTTCTCTTCGTACCTGGTGAAAGACAGTTCATCTAGTCAAAAAGTGTTTCTTATTTTTCTATAAACATTGTTAACGCAAAAATTAGGTATGGTATCTTGATTGGATTTCAATGAAATTTAGCACAGATATAGTTTGTAACCTTGAATAACACACGGGGTACTATTTCCCGATAACGCAGGCAAAGACGCTGACAGAAGCTCGTTAAAAATAAATTGCTTCTCACAAAGAAGTTAAAAAATGGGTGGGCCCATTACTGTGGGTAAAACCTATATGTGATTGTATGTTTTTGGCATATACAAACAATGATTTTAATGACTAAAAAAGAATTTACTTTCGTTGCTTTCTAAAAATTAAAATGGCGGTGACAGAGGCACGTGATGGCGCCGGGCACGTGTAAATTGTATGATAACTGTTATCGATTCTTTATTGTCGGCAAAATTGTTTATTATATTATTAGTAGATAATTTCTTTTCTTCTTTTAAATAATTAAGTTATATATTATTATGAACGCTGTGTGTATCTGTAATATGCATGCTTATTTAGTCTTTGGTTGTTATATTTATTACTAGAATAGGTACTAGTATTAGTTAACTAGCTAGTCTAGCGCGGTTTCACCCGCTGCTCGGCTCTATTTAATCGTAGCGTTATATAGCCTATAGCACTCAGGGACATTGTAGCTATCTATCAGTGAAAGAACTTTGGCAATCCGACCAGCGGTTTCAAAGATTACCTCTTTATAATATTAGTATAAAAGTATAGATAATATTATGTATGCTGTTGGTATACCAATAAATAAATAAATATATCTATGTAAAAAGTTTTTACTTTAAAATGGAAACCCTAATTTTGCTATGATTTTCGCACCTTCTTTTGTATCCGTTGCTTTGGTACAAAGTCACGTTCTCTGAAGTCCAAAGCTTCTTTCAGTTCACGATCCGAATCGCCTGCGATTAAGAAATAAATATTAAAATAATAAAAATTTTCATTAAAATTAAATAAAGAGAGATATTTATTTATTTACAAAACGCAATAATTTTACGTTGAACGTTCACATTCTTAGGTTTATCCTCGATGGGTTCGATTTAATAATATGTTACTTTATGGTCTTAATTCTTGTTACATTCTTGGCGGAGGAGGTTAGTTAGTGTGACACCCCTTCTCGCATTAGAGAAGTATTTTTATGATTTCAACCCCACTATAAAGCTGTTATTTGCGTGTCCTGTACGAAACTAAGTTCTGTGCTGTAACCACATGTAATATATAACATACTAGCTCTTATCCGCGGCGTCGCTCCCGACATTTGACTGCCTACCCTACTCTACTTACCTTACTCTACCTACCCTACTCTACCTACCCTACGCTACCTACCCTACTTTACCTACCCTACTCTACCTACCCTACTCTACCTACCCTTCACTACCTACCCTACTCTACCTACCCTACTCTTCCTACCCTACTTTTCCTACCCTACTCTACCTACCCTACTCTACCTACCCTACTCTACCTACCCTACTCACCTACCCTACTCTACCTACCCTACTCTACCTACCATGCGCTACCTACCCTACTCTTCCTACCCTACTCTTGCTACCCTACTCTACCTACCCTACTCTACCTACCCTACTCTACCTACCCTACTCTACCTACCCTACTCTACCTACCCTACTCTACCTACCCTACTCTACCTACCCTACTCTACCTACCCTACTCTACCTACCCTACTCTACCTACCCTACTCTACCTACCCTACTCTACCTACCCTACTCTACCTACCCTACTCTACCTACCCTACTCTACCTACCCTACTCTACCTACTCTACTCTACCTACTCTATCCTTCTCCCAGTTATTAGCTACCTCCCTACGAATTTTCAGCGAAATCGGTTCAGTCGTTCTTGAGTTATAAGTGTAGTAACTAACACGACTTTCTTTTTATATAGATATATACGCTCTATTGTTCTCGAGGATTTTTCATCTTTCGGATTGACGTATACTTTTGTCGTTAATCTAGTTCAGCGTTGTTGTACCCAGTTTGAAAATAAATCTCACTTAGAGTTCTTAAATTCTTTAATACCAATTTACCCCTATTTCTACTAAGTATAATATTAATTACTAAGCAAATTAATTGTATTTAATCGTCGCAGAAAGGTCGGAGATAGGGTGTATTAAGTTTGATTTTCGTTCTGAAATTGTGACTTTTATTTTTAACGAATTGTGCATTTATACATATATGCAGTCTCTGAGAGACAAAGTTTTACGAATTAAATAAAAACAGGTAAGAATTCTATAAGCTGTCTTTGTCTTCTTTAAGCTCTCCAAGCCAAGCTTCAGCACGAAAGGGTCAGCCCAACCGGAGTGATACCTGATATTTGGATGATAAATTTCCGAAACCCTGCCGGCAACACTTGTTACTCCTCTGGCGTTGCGTTGTCCATGGGCGGCGTTGATTGCTTGCCAGCGGGCGATCCGTTTGCTTGTTTGCCAACTTATCACACAAAACAAAGTTTTTTTTTTAATTTGAATACTTGTATTTCTTATATTTAAAACAAATGTAAGGTAATATATTAAGTCATCATAATACTAACGGTAATCACAAAAAAACATGGATATTTCCGACGGGTGTGAAGGATATGGGCAGGCGTGAGCTGGGGGGCCAGGGATCCATAATGAGTGCGTCAGTTGGGGCCCAGCCGGTGCTATGTTGCAAACTAAACGCTCCACGCGTTGTAGACGACCTTTCCAAGGTGCCTTATAAAAGATAAACACTATAGATTGTATTTCAATAAAGTTTTAAAATATTCTCATAAATAGGTACTAATACCTCGACCAACTATAATTTGAATTGGCGTAGATTATCTAATTGCAATGTCACATCAAATTTTTATCTTTTTAAATTTTTAAACTGAGTTTATAATATTAAGACTCATTTGTTCAAATTGTCCACATCACATCACGTCACCAGTTTGTAAGTGCCCACTGATGAGCAAAAGCAGCTTGCTCAAGGCGGATTAGCGATTTCAAACTTAAAATTAGAAATTCAAATTTGCTCACACTGTTTTCCTTCACCGTATGCAAGTGGCTTCTAAATAATCTTAGAAAGTACATATAAGAAAAAAACCCGCAGTCTCTTCGCATGAGAAGCGAGAGCCAAAAACCTCCGGGCCACCACAACTACTAAAATTATCCGTATGCATGCATATAATTATTGAGTACTGTGACTATATACACTACGGATGAATTTGAATTGGTCCCATATTACATCACATCAGATTATTTTAGTTGATTAAAATAAGTCAACAATTGCATGAATTGGGAATCTAATCCAACATCCTCTTCGTTGTAGGCGCAGTTAATAAGGTAATACCAATCTTTCCCCTCCCCCAATCCCTAAACCCCAAAAGGTCGGCAACGCAATAGTACCTCCTGTGTTGCGGGTGTCCATGGGCGGCGCTGATTGCTTACCATCAGATAATACGTCTGCTCGTTTGTCGACATATCAAATAAAAATACCAATCAGATCAAAAATCCGCGTCAGTTGGAAAGACTTGGTTCATTGTTATTTAAATTCCCAATTTTATTTCTTCGTATTCCAATATAAAACGAATTAACGGCATTGCACTCACCATAAATCGACTGCGGCCACAACCCACCATATAACTTTTCGACCAAATCATTTGGGCGAAATCACCGTAATATTTGCCACCTTTACTTGGGCTATAAAACAGACAGACAATTTGTTATTACTGTGCACGATACATAACAGGTACATTACAATGTTGTGACCGCGATTTATAGTGTTAATTACCTGTAGATAGCAACAAAAAGTGCGCGCAACAGAAGCAACAGAAGCG